AGCGTTGTTCTCCAAGATCCATCACCAGCCATAAAATGCAGCACTATAATAGATTAACTCAGTTTGTGCTGCAATTATTCTAAAATAATTAATTCAACAGTTATTTTAATGAAATAATAATTCAATAATGGCAAACAGTACATACAATTCATTTTTTAACAGGTTTTATTTCATATTCATTACATTAAAAACATACTACAAATTATTCTGTAATTGGGAATTGATTGGGGACAGACTCACTCACTTCTCTTTAAGTCTTTTCTTTATTTTACAGGAATAAATCTCCAGTTATAAGAACAATTTTATGACCTGACTGACAGGTCTTATTTGCACCGCCTAAATGATTTGAAATATTTGAGTTTAAATTTCCATGATGCAGTACACGATTGTCCCGATTACAGTAGCATGGGAGCTTGTCTTGATTACTAATGGGACATTTCCTAGTCAATTCCTAATAGTCCTGAGAGATAGAGAGCAATACCTGCCACTAGTGCACTAGATTGGATGACATCAGTTTTGAGACAGGAACTGTCCTGTGGGACTGCTGATACACAGCAATGAAAATTTCACTTAATGGAAAAAAATACAAACAAATCAACACTAACAATTTTTTTACTGTTGATAGTACTATTTGTTCTCGAGACCTAATTTTCCCTGATGGGAACAGTTAAATCTGAGTAGATCCAGAACAATTCTCAGCATCACCTATCATCATACCTCAGAAAACAGAAATGACTCCAACTTCTGCTCCCCAGACAGGCTTTCATCTACAACACAGTTATCTGTTTTGACACTCTCCTGCTATATTACATGGGAGAGCTCTTAGACGTTTAATCAATCTGTCTTAATGTTTCCTGGTGCTCAGTTCAGGACAGTATTCAGACTGGTCATATGAATTTCAAATTGTATTTATATTAAATAAAAATATATAACTCTCAGTGATCATCTTCATTCTTCTACCACTATGAACACATATTGCATGAAGCAGAGAGCAATTTGTAGGAATCTTGTTTTTTTTTAAGAAGTATTTTAGATACTGTATAACCTGCTTTCTAAAGCCCCCAACAAACTGCTATAAATCTTTTTTCCACCGTCTTTTAAGCTGTTTCTGTCTCTAGTAATTGTGTTCCGTACAACTGCTTGTTTTTCAGAAAGAAAACTAAAACCCAACCAAGATTGTACTGAGTAGGCAAACATTAGATTCATCCTGGTTCAATTTTGCACAGGTTGAAGACCACATTTATATTCACTGATTAATCTCCCAGCCAAACCCTGTATGGCGTGCATAGTAATACAAACATACACACTGACTGAACTAGCGAATTTGCTAGGTACACTTACTGTGGGTATTTTACGTTGCGGCAAGCAGCACGCCACAAAGACAGAACGTGTATTTTTTCTGCAAATAAAACACATACTGTATACCCTGCCCTCAGTGGGATAAAAAACTAATTATGATTTGATTCATGAAGAGAACACCCGAAGCAAATTAATTGACTCGGCTGAGACGCACAAGACCTGTGGTCGCGGCCAAGTGACTTTCCTGCTAAACTATTCTGATTTAAGGTTTGGTTCTACCGCTTATTCATGAAGAGTCAAGTAACTGCTTTCTGTGCAAACTATCGTTGTACAGTAGTTTGAAAAACAATATCTAAAACACTGATGTCCGATACCAAGTACATCAAGACTTGTTTTTATTAGTGCCATAATTTTAGGGTAAAGACCTGATTAAATCAAAAGCAGCACACCAAGCACTGTACAGCAAAGCGAATAAACCACATTCGCTTTGATTTAATCCCCTCTTGGGGGCAGTCAGCTCCGTTATAGGAGGGGCACCACCAATGGTTAAAGGATAATTACATGATTAAGTGGCTGAGGGCCCGCTGAGGATTTTATTGGGCCACTTTGCTAATTAAACTCGCAGCCGGAGCAAAAACCAAAGCAGGGACAACCGTGTTGGTCCAGTAGCGCTCTCCTTCAAAGTCTGCAGGTGTAATCATACTAAATCATCATCATCATCATCATCATTATTATTATTATTATTATTATTATTATTATTATTAAAACGATGATGATGATGGTGATGATGCTGATGATCAGTTTGATGAAGTACAGTAGACGATTGCACTGCGGACAAAGAATGTACCTGCTTTGCGTACTGTATTACTTTTGCCTCTTTTCTCGGGGTTAAATAACAAACCTTGAGGGCCACTAGGATTCTTTCGACTAATAATGAAGACATTTAATTTTGTTTAATAGAAAGCGCCAACTCCCCTCCTCCTCCGTGACGGTCATTAATAGAAGAGTCCAGATGTTTCCAGCAGGTATTTTGCAAAGTATTCTGTGCCAGAGCGGCACTACCGCTTGGTATTTTTTTAACTGTTCCTTTTTTTAAGCGGAAGCAACGGTAAACACGACTGAACGCCTCCGCACCTTGTTCGGTTATTAATTTGTATTTGCGAAAACAAGAACAGCTTTTAAAAATAATTTCGCAGAGGCACTGATGGACTATATCTTGGTACACTTTATGTAATTAAATCAGTTGCCGTCTGTATCACAATGCAAGTTCACAGTTTTAACCCAAATAATCCCATGTAAAGCACAGATGTTGTCTAATTTACAGTATCATTGATTCGGGGATCAGATAGCACAGAGGCGCATACGCAAGTATCTAATACTGTACAGTAGTTTACGCAAAGGACATGAATGTCAGAGCTACAGTATGTATTATAAGAGAGGAATCACGGTCTCCAGTTTTTAGGCTATTATAGAAACTGTTCTTTGTGTAATAGTGCATGTTATTCACATAGTAAATTTAACGCATAAGGGACTAGAGTAGAACGTCCCAGGCTTCAAGCGAATTTAGAAATGTGCATATAACTTTTATTGTAAAACGTAGCTTTCATAAATAATTCCATGTGCTGTTATACAGGCTTGCATTACATAATACCATAGCAACAGAAAAAAGCTACGTTTTCATCTGACGACGAAATCCTTTAAAAAATGCTGCTAAGTTTTTTAACTAAATACGACTGTCCAACTGCCACAGTTCAATATAAATCATTTCGAACTGTAAAAACTGTAGTTCGACAAGGGAGACTATTCACAACCGATCTTACTAGTGTATCTGCTCTGTGTCATTTATCGTGAAAATTACCAAGTGCAGGTTCAGTTTAATCTCTGGTTCACTTTGGGCCTCCGCACGACAGGCTACAGACACATTTCATTAGATAAATCATTAAATCGGCATGTAGGCTTTCGTCAGATTTCTTTCTTTCCGTTAAAAAAAATATCGATTTTGTTATAGAAGTCCAGTCATTGGAGCGATATAACAAGCAGGTGTTACGATTCATCTTTGTTTGGAATACTGTCAAAATGCTCATCTGTGTATAACCTAAACAGTGGATGCAGACAAATACAGTACCAATGGCCAGAAGGAAATACAGGGGAAAAACCCCCGCCTTAATTGTTCCCATAACCGTGCACTAATCTAACACATCGGAAAAGAGTGAAACTAGACATTAGGAAGGAGTAGATGATCTACAGTCACTAAATATCCGATTATTAACAATTAACACGCACACAAATATATTCATTGATATACAGTACGAGTTTGACCATACGGCTTCAGATCTTCTATTGCAAAGTTATTATTGAATCCCAGCACATACTGCATATACTGTACGTCGCACAACAATACTGAGATGCCCTTAACCTGTGTTGCTCAACCTTCTCCACAACAATTACAATGTCGCACAGAGCATCAATTAATCCCGCACTCAACGTTACCTTCACTTTCTTTGAAGGGAGAAGAGACGGAAGCAACAGTGTTGCACATAATGAAAGTATACTCTAGACCGACGATAGAAGAAACATAGAAACGGTCAGTCTAGGGCCCGAAAGTTGCAGAGAAAACTGCATCCAACCCCGTCTTTTACTTTTGTCCTGCATCACCACCAGAACTTGAATCAACCCCAATAATAGTAATTGATGTTATGCTTGTGAGCCCCCAGTAACATTTGTATTAATCTTACAGATTTATCATTCACCTTAACAAACCGCATAACCTGTGGATACCACAGTTTTCAGCAGGGTAAAGTTGCTCGGCTTCCGGCGTTAGCCCTTATTAATAGTTCAGTCAACTGATACTACTATGTCCTAATTTATCTGCCAATCAAGGACCGAAGTTTTTAACCTGTCTGAATCGTCAATGAATCCAGTTTTGGTACTGTAGTTGAATAATAACACCGTGATGTGTTTTAACATACCGTATGAGTAATAAGGAGACGCACTTAAGATACATCGACTTACAAATAAGACACTAAAGCATGGTGTAATTTTGGATCAGAACGGTTTGCGTCAATTAATTTTCTGTTTTGTGGGGAATGTTTTTAATGCGAGCTTTCGTCTCCTTTTTTGGATGTGCCAGAAACCAATGCACGAGTAAGTCACCGCGTTAGTGTTTATTATAAGCGTACAAGTAAAATAATTTTCCTCGGGTCGTAAGTGGCAGTAAAATGGAAAAACGGTAACCCCAAAATATTCTACAGCGCTACAGACACGAAAGACATGCACCTGCTGTACTTTCAACAAAAAAGCGTTCACGTACTGTACCATTCAGTAATAAGAAATTATTTAGCAATAATTTTTACTGCTATCACCACAACTGTCAGTTCCACTACCAGTATGTTACTGCAACCGCTACAGTTGCTACGACTATAAATAAGTATGGAGAATTACCTTTGTTTAATACCTATTAAGCAAGATAATGTGAATATTCACTTGCCATAGCCTAGCATCAGCTCCCTTTGCATTTCTGTAGGTGAACGCTTGATACTGTATATTTTTAAGCTCCAAAACAAACATACGCACACAAAAACGTTGATTTACAAACATCGGTATGTCTTTATAAAGCCCAAATTAATGCCATGAAAATACCACAGTTACTTTACAGCTTTAGTACCATTTTGTGGTTTTTCAAATATGCTTTATTTTCTTACCCATGACTGGCAATCTGATATCAGGCTCCTTTCCCCGGGTCTAAAGCCTTCTAGCGCCCGACTCCAGAGTCTGCATGACACGCACTCTTCTCACAAGGCACCTCTCCTTTGAGGGTCCGGTTCTAAACCCGATCCGACCCGACAGAGCAGATAAGCGCCCGCTGCCGCCTCCACGCACACACAGGGTGCACCTGCCCGCTGTTGCGTTCCTGAGGTACGGCAAGTGTGTGCAGCCTCGCACCCAGATTTCAATCCCACGATCTCCCTCCAGCCATGCAGCATCTCTCAGACCTCCACCGCAAACAGAAGAGCATCTACAGTAGTTTTCCCCTAAATTCGGGACGCGGGAAGAATAATAATAATAACAACAACAATAATAATAATATTGTAAATAATAATGAGAAGGAACCAGAAAACGAATTAAATGAAATCAAATCCGAAATAAAGTTTAGGGAAGCCAGATACTACTTCTTAATTTCTTTCCTTCCGTTCCATCCATCCCTAATGCCACGATGTGTAAAGATCACTTTCCTGGTGAGGGTTTAGGTTTGCAAGAATAAAGTCGTCCACAAATCATAAGTTCCGAATCGAATGCCACTGGCTGAAAGTCCGTATTCCACTGCCACTGGCCTGAGAACGAATTATGTCCGCGACTCGTTCGATCTAACGCTGTTTGCAGGCAAACAGTCCTGGTTGAATGAATGCGCCTTCTTCTCCTTTTCTTTCTCCTTTTCGTTCGGTTCCAAATAGGACAGAGGTATAACAGGCGTTTGTGTAGAAGCAATGTTAAAGGCTGTCTGTCTCCGCTCAACTCCGCTCCGCAGAATGACTGTGAATGCCCTCTTCTGGCGAAAAGAGTCGCGTAATCCTTCCATCCTTCCTTCTCTTTTTCTCACACTCTGAAACAAATGCAAAATTGTACACGCAACTTCCCAGGTGGATTAAGCAGAGTTAAAAAAAGAAAGGAAACGAAAAAACAACACAAAACGATATATTACACTAATATTACACATATGCAGCATTTTATCTGTCATTCTAATAGGAAGGAATGGACAGAATGTCTTGGGACAAATTATAGAATGATAGTTGCTGAGTATTATAAAACTGTAAATATAATAAGTATAAAATAATGCAATGGTGAAGGCGCCATTATTCAATTAGGGAAATGTGTTGTACAATATCACCGCTATCTTTCTTTAGTTTAACACTAGATTTGAATAATATGGACATTCTCCCGCTTAGTTAAAAAAAAAGCTAAAGAGATCTGTGGAATTCTTGTAAAAATAATTCAGAACCTAAATGGTTTTTAACGTAAAATGTTCATTCAAAATGTGAACAACGGCTGAAGGACACAAGTGAAAATAAAAGGCACGTGCTTCTGGGACACTTAACACAAAGCGTCGTGCACACAAATCATACTACCCAGCCATGCTGTAGAAGGCGACTTTACCTTGTGTTATTGTTACAATTAATTTAACAAGGTAGGCTCAAGTGCCCCTTCTCGTTAATAACCTTTTACTTTTAGCTACTGTACAGCGCTTTGAGAAACTACTCTTTTTGAGACTTCCACCCATTTAGTGGTCTGCATTTCTAAGGCAGTCGAGTCCTTTGGATTGATTCAGATAAAATCAAAACGAAGAGAAAAATGAAATATAACAAAATTAAAAGCTCTTTTTTTAGTATTTGGCAATAATGAGGTTTTAAATGTCTTCCTAGAAACAATCGGATGAATTAGGATTATATTTAGTCTTTAAAGGGTGGAATTCTGATGGTCAAGATTTAATAGGTACAGTACAGTAGAAGTTTCAGCATCTGAGCAATATTTAAAAAATATTTTTAAAGGGAATTAACATCTTGCAAACTTTTTGACAGTGTTAATGTAATTACATTAGGGGTCTTGTTGTTTCTCTAATTTCTCCATGTTCCCGAAACATACAGATATGTACTGTATCATTACTACAGCATAATCTTCCCAGATTGCACCTAATTTCTCTTGGATTTCAGGTACAGTATGAATTTTACTGTTCGCACATACAGTACAGCTACTCTTTCTGAGGAGCCATTACTCCACCTAAACATATAAAGTTGTATAGGGACTTGTAGATTTGATTCAAACTATAAAGTATTTATGGTAACTGTGATATAATCTGTTAGTTTTGTAAACAAAATAAAAAATACACAAAGGACTTAAACAACAGGAAAGTAATGCAACTGTACAATATACAGTATACACTTTTTCCAAACAATTTTCAGATCATTTTCCAGGAAAACATTTTGGGAAAATAAAATGAGCTACATTTCTTTTTTTAATTTGTATCTTTCTTTCTCTGATTTTCTGATGAGATATAACAGACATGAGAAGGCGTGTGCATTATTTTCAAGATAATGATACACTAATGCTAGAAAAAGAATGTATTGTAAATAAACAACAGCAGAAAGCCTAAGCTGTTAGTAAAATGCAAATTCTGCTTTCATGATCAGATCTTCAGAATTGTTAATATACAGATCTATAAAATGATTATGTTTGAGTATATTAATGTAAACAAACACTATGGGGAACAATATTAGAAACTTAATATTTCTGGAATGCATCAGAATTATGGTACAGTGCCTGGTCATTCGTATATTTTATAAATTAATGAAGGTCCTGCTTGCTGACCTCTTAATGGTATTCACAGCCATGGTCACTTCATTTCATTGTCATTTCATTTTTCATGTCACTATCTCTCAACCGTCTATCATTCAGCTAATTACAGATAATGGATGCTTTAGTGTACATGCTAACTGTATATGTAATAAACCATTGTTGGCTGGAGACAGCAAAAATAGCAAATATTAAACAGACATGTATGAGAGACAGACATTTAGACACACATGAAAGGTAGATGAATGGACAGACAGACATAGATGGATGGAGGTGTGGATTGATATCCAAAGAGAATTATGTAACGCTGCTCTGTAGAGGTGAAAAGGATCCAATGCAGATGCAGGAGTCGCAGGGAGGTAAGTAAACGTACCGAGCAAATCCAGGAGCTGAGTCGTAGTCCGAAGGCGAAGGTAGGTCGAGATCCGGTAAAGGCACTGGTGGCGAACAATCCAAAATGTGAGACAGAATCGTGGTCGAAAAGAGAGCTGCAGGGTCAAATCCGAAATAGGCACAGATAAACAATCCAAGGGGCGAGACGAGATCTGAAGTCCGAAGGCAAAAGGGTAGACAGAATTCCAGGGAGGCAAAAGGGTAAAGAACGCTAGGCTGAGCAACAAGTAGAGAACTCAATACCGAGCAACGGGAATCAGGTAAGAATGGTATAAATAACCCGGCGTGCCGCACGGTAGAGCGATTGCAGGTGTGTTAACTCGTGCGGTGGCGCTTGTTAGTAGTAATCCGCTGCTGGTGCTGATTGGCTCGCTTACGTGTTGATCTCAGCTGGCTGGTGGTCGTGACAAATTAATCATCCTTAACCAATTTTTTTAAAAAATAATTCTTTACACTTATACAGTACAGTATAGCACTTTTCTGGATACTACACTCGAAGCGCTTTACAGGTAATGGGGACTCTCCTCCACCATTACCAATGTACAGCACCCTCCTGGATGAAGCGATGGCTGCCATAGTGCACACAGTATGATCACCACAGACAAGCTATCAGTGGGGAGAACAGAGTGATGAAGCCAATTCATAGATGGAGATTATTAGGAGGCCATGATTGGTAAAGACCAATGGCAAATTTTACCAGGATGCCAGGTTAACACCCCTACTCTTTCTGAGAAATGCCCCTAGGATCTTTAATGACCACTGAGAGTCAGGACCTTGGTTTTACATAACTTCCACAGGAAGGCACCTTTTAACAGTATAATGTCCCCATCACTATACTAGGGTATTAGGAGCCACACAGACCGCAGAGCGAGCACCCACTACTGGCCCCACTAACAGTTCTTCCAGCTGCAACCTTAGCTTTCCCAGTTCTCCCATCCAGGTACTGACCAGGCTCTCACCTGTGTAGCTCCAGTGGTTTGCTAGTTGTGTGTTGCAGGGTGATATAGCTGCTGGCTGGACTTTTACGTAGAGCAAGCTTTTTCAATTGTGCGCTAACAGATATTTTAGATTTTTTATCTCCTTTATCCCAGTATTTTTTGCTTTCCTTATCAGAAGAATGAAAAATGATGTCAGCACTTTGAAAGGAAACATAAAACAACAAGGACATGCATTAAATTCCTTCTCATCATCTGGCTGCAGCGTAAATTTTAATAGAGGTTAGAGTATGGTGCTGTGTCAGCGTGCAGGCTGTAATGGAACAAGCAGAGGTTAATTCCACTCTGAAAAGTAAGAGAAAGAATAAAACATAATATTTTGTTTGTGGGGCTTTCTTAAGTTGAAATGAGAAAAATAACTGAAGGATTCACACCTTAAATGTTGTGATTTTGCTTTTTACTTTTCAGTGTGGAATTAATGTATTTGTGAATATCAATAGCTTTCTGGTAAAAATACTGTAATTACTTGTGGACATAAAACAGGAATTTAAATTAATTTCCATTCATAATATTCCCAGTACAAGGTTGCAGGGGAGCCAGAGCTTGTCCTGGCAAGGACAACACCTGCAACAGATGCATGACAAGATACTCCTTAGATAGGATGTCAGTCCATCAAAGGGCACACACAGACACAAACACAAACACTCCCACACCAGGGCCAATTAACCTACTGCTACGTTTTTTGGACTGTGGGAGGAAACCTGGTGCACCTGGAGGAAATCCACACAAATACAAGGAGAACATACAAACTCCACATTGATTAGACTGTGAGTTAGCAATGCTAACCACTATGCCACTGTGTCACCCTTGTGATTATGAGTTTTAGAATAAATACAGCTTTTTGTGAAAGCATTTTTCTGTGCTAACATTTTCTAGAAGTAAAATTTCACTCCTCTGAAAAGGTTGATTGCGGTGGCACCTCCTCGCTGTTTTTGATTAGAAGGATCCAAATTTATCCTGATGCGTTGGGCTGCCCCATAATGTGCACCAGATTGCTATTGATCGGTACTAACCTCTCTGATACTAAAACAAGTCAGCAGTAATCCCCGTCCTGCCCAACAACACAAAATAAAGTAATACCACAGGTGATCTGTAATAAGACAGAGAAATGATAACTTGAGATTGGAATTTGCCTGGTTGTATTATGCAGAGATTGACACCAGTATGCCACCAGTATGCCCTGTCAAGGCCAGAGAATACCTTTGTTGACAAACAGTAAAGTTGTACAGAGACAACTGAAAGAGATGCTGTTCAGTTTGTTGATTGATTTGTTCTCACATTACTGCAATGTACATTTATTTAGTTTATGTTCTGATTAGATGTACTGTATGTATTTAGGGATGAAACAAAATTCCTTTTTAACTTGTAAGTGCCATACCATCCTCTTTATCTCGCTTTGTCTCTATATTCCTATTCAAGGAAACAAAGTAGACTCAAGCTGGAAAGCAATTTAATCCTTTTCAGGCTTCTCATACTCCAGGTATTTGCATAAATTCCGACAGCAGGTGCTATATATACAGTATGTCATGTCTGTTTTTTTTATTTTGAGTAAATCTTCAGAAACAGACATGAGACATTAATGTGATGCTATAGTGTTTTCCTGCCTCACCAATAGAATTCAACTTATGGCCTGTTTGCTTGTTATATTTGAAATAAATCAAATGGCTGTAAAAATGGTGTTTTACAGCTATGTTTTTGTAAATATGTTATTTCTGTCATACTGTACATAATGGGTAAACTGAAATGTTCTATTATGTCAGTTCAGAACATGTAATTCTGATGC